GACAAAAAAGAAAACCAATGGGTATTATTTTTTGAAAGCTCTAAAAAGAAAAAAGGTTACTCACCTTGTGCAGTAACTGAGGTTCTTCGAGAGATGTGTCACTGTGGGTGCTCCACTTCAGGTGTCAGTGCATCCTGGCGCCGTCGATCGGAGATTTATGGTAGCAGTGTCCGTATGGATCACCGATGCACAGTAGGCATCTCGTTGTGCCGTTGGTACCGCGTCTAGCGCATGCATGACGGTAGCCCTCCAGTTCCTTCTCTTCGCAGTAAGGACTCTGCAGTACACTCTGAAGTAGGGGGAGGAGGGTGTGTAGTGGAACACCCACAGGGACACATATCTCGAAGAACCTCAATTACTACACAAGGTGAATAATCGTCTCTTCTTCTTCTTCAAGTGCTGTCCCTGTGGGTGCTCCACTTCAGGTGAATGTAGAGCAGTGCCCCCCCAGAAGGCAGGAGGGACTTTGGGTTCATTTGAGTCATAGAGGTAGATACAGCTAGGCCAACTATGGCATCAGCCCTGGAGTCTTGAGTGATTGTAGAGTGCTCAGTGAATGTGTGGACAGAGGCCCAAGTGACCGCCCTGCAAATCTCTAATATCGGAACAATGTTCAGGAACACTATCAAGGTTGAAACTGATCATGTGGGGTGCGCTCTGATGTGCGCAGGAGGGTCCACGTTCCAAATACGATACAAAGGTTGAATGCATGTGGAGATCCATTTAGACAGTCTTTGAGTAGATATTGCGCAGCCTTTCGAATGGTCGGTAGTAGAAACAAAAAGTCTAGGAGATTTCTGGAACGGTATGGTCCTTTCCAGGTAAAACCCTAATGCACTCCTGACGTCCAGTGTATGCAAGACGGCCTCTGTTGGGAGTCCCGTAAGGCTTGGGATAGAACGTGGGAAGATGGATTGGTTGGTTCATATGATATTACCTTTGGTAGGAATTTTGGGGGCAGATGCAGCACAACCTTGTCTTTGAAGAATAAAGTGTAGGGAGAATCAGCCATGAGAGCCCCTATCTCACTCACCCATCTAGCGGAAGTAATAGTGACCAAAAAGGCCATTTTCATGGATAAACGAAGGAGGGAATAGATGACTAGGGGTTCAAATAGTGGTCTGGTGAGGCATTTCAATACCAGACTGAAGTCCCACGCCAGCGTAGGTTAGCGAACCTCTGGGTAAATGTTCTGGAGACCCGCGAGAAAGCGTTTAGTAATGGGGTGCACAAAGATCGAGGTCCTATCAATCTCATGATGGAATTCTATAATAGCCACGAGATGGGCTTTGACTGAGCTCGTTGCTAAACCCGAGCATTTCAGCTCCAGTAGGTATTCCAACACTAATGGTGGCGATGTTGTGGAGGCTGTCACACGTTTTTCTTGACACCAGGAGGAGAATCTCTTCCACATTTGAAGGTAAGTATTATGTGTGGTCACTTTCCTGTTGTTTAGTAATACATGTTTAACTTGTTCCAAACAGGCTAGTTCGCCATAATGGAACCATGCAGAAGTCATGCTTGTAGGTGGAGTTTTTCCATATTCGGGTGAAGAGTGCAACCGCTGTTCTGAGACAACGGGTCCGGATGGCAAGGTTGAGCTCAAGGGCCACATATTGCCATGCCCATCAGGTAAGGGTACCATGCTTGTCTGGGCCATGTCGGAACTATGAGGATGACCTTGGCCTTGTCTATTCGTATCTTGTGTATCACACCTAATATCAGGGGAAATCGTTGGGAACGCACACATCAGTTGTGCATCCCATGCGATGAGGAAGGCATCCCCAGTGATCGTGGTCCCATTCCTGCTTTCAAGCAGAACATTGCACATTTGAGGTTTGTTGGGGATGCAAGCAAGTTGATAAGGGGAGTGCCCTACCGGCGGAATACAGATTGCCGGACTCCCTCGTTCATTTCCCATTTGTGGTCTTGAGAGAAGTACCTGCTTAGTGTGTCTGCCATTGCGTTCTGGCAACTGGGAAGGTAGGAGGCCAAAATGTGTGTGTTGTGGTGAATGCACCAGTTCCACAGTTTCGTGGCTTCAGTGCATAGTGAGTGAGATCGAGCGCCCCCTGGGCGATTGATGTAAAACATGTAGGCAATGTTGTCAGTCATTATGCGAATTGATTCGTTCTTTATGTGAGGTAGGAAGTGTCTGCAGGCATTGTGGACCACGCGTAGCTCTAGTAGATTGATGTACAAACGAGTCTCCGCAAGAGACCATTTGCCTTGAACTGTGTGCAAATGCATGTGGGCGCCTCAGCCTATCAGTGAGGCATCCATCGTAATTACTATTGATGGGGGTTCCTGTTGGAAGGGGATGCCCATGAATACATTTTCTGGTCTTGTCCACCAGTGCAGAGTCCAGGACACTGGGTGATACTGTAAGTCGTCCAGGATACTATGATACCGTAAGCCGTTTGTGTAGGCTGTGTTTGCTGTGTCTCCTTCGCTTGGGACTCAGTGGTGCTGGAGGTGCCCGGAGTGTCATAGGTGCTCACCCAAGCATGTGTAGGCATCGGGGGTAGCGACCTGGCAGGAGACCGCCTATGTTTCTGTGCCCTCTTCCTTGGTCTTTTAGAGGAAGGTATGTCTCCTGAAGGAGGGGTGCCCGGAGAGGAGATCCGTTGTTCTGTCTCCCGTTGGAGAGATTTCTCCATTAGCATCATTTTGAGTCAGAGATCCCGGTCACGCCAGGCTCTCACCTTTAGGTTGCTACAGTGGGCACATTTTTGTGGATATGCACCTCACTGAGACATCGGACACACAAGAAGTGCCCATCAGAAACTGGCATTGCTTCGCGGCAGGAGCTGCATAGCTTAAAGCCTGGGGAGCCAGGCATCTTAAACGGTTAACCGATCCCGCAGCGGGGGAACTACGGGAAGGTAAACTGAGAGAAAGTAAACTTTTTTTTTGATCCAACAAAACTAACACTAACTACAACTTTCTATATGACTAACTAACTATTTAAACTATTATTTCTAAAGGTTTGGCAAGAGTGATGAACACTGCCCCAGAGCTCAGTCTTCAGCTGAGGATGGCTGACAAGGAATTGGAGGGCTCAGGTCATGTGCATGCTAGACTCGGCACCAACGGCACCGCGAGACACCTACTGCACATGTGCGACCTGCACAGACACTGCTACCATAAATCTCTGGTGGACAGCGTCGGGATGCACAGACACTTGTAAATGGAGCACCTACAGGAATAGCACTCAAAGAAGAATCAAGATTACACTGTTTTAAAACTCTTCCCAATATTTATGGTTTTATCGTCCAAACACAAGCGCAAAGCTTTTTGGAGATTATTTAGTTTCCCCATAAGAACTTCCTGTTCTTTGTTATTTTGTAGCCTCTCAATGCAACTCACTCTTCAGTACCATCCCAAAGGATATGCTATCTTTCTATAGCACTGATCATCTACAGTGGAACCAAATATTTTTAAGGGGGAATATTTTTCCTCTTTAATCAGAAGTAGGAAGCCAGTGGAGTAAAAGGTTTTTCTTGTGTTGACATAAGTCAAGAGATCACACAAAGTCCTTCAAGTCCTTATCGGCTTAATATTGCTGTGGGTGTCATCAAAAACTCAATATTTACTAAGCTACTACAAGACGTATCTGAGATACTACATTTATTTTCTATTCTAAACAGAAAGGAAAACAACAATATTCTCAGTTACCACTATGTGGGTAACTGTTGGTAAACACTGACTTTTTAAATTCATTTACTAAAGTAACAGATTAAGAAAAACATAATTCATAAATTGGTCAAACATATACACAAAGATGAGGAAAGGAGCTAAAGAAAATGCTACAATTTAGATCAGAATGGACTACAGTTATTTGGTGCCAAAATACACTACAATAAACTTGCATGCTGGCATCAAGGATCTAACTGTAAACGATAAAAAAATCCATAAGCTTCATAATCAATACAAACATCCAAAAATGATTTTACTAAAACCCAGGAAAATAGGAGCTTTCACTCAATTCCAAATTTTCCTGAAACTCCCCCTCCCCCTTCATCAAATGTAGCTGAAGCAACTGGACTCCTGGAGGACAGGAAATGACATACTTCACCAAAATCAGTAAAGATGGATTTCCTGTTTTCCAGAATGGCAAGTAAAAATATAATAGAACTGGCTCCAATGTTAATATATTAATCTTTCTTTAAGATAATAAAATCTTTGTTTGCAAGATTACATTTTTTTCTCAGCATTCTGGAATCCTGGGAAAAAAACACTCTACAGCAGCAGCAAAAGTTGTCTGTTTAAATAGTGTCCTAACTTCATGTCTAATAGCTCACCAATGTTATCAAAAAACAGCTCTATAAACCATTGGATAAAGATACAAGTAATAATGCATACTGTAGATATGAAATTATAGCAAAACACTCACTAATGAGACCAAAGGAAACTGAAATCATTTTCATGAATTCAGAAGATCTTGGATAGGAAGGGAAGTGAATAATTTACATGTCAAAGGTATAGTACCTTTCATTACCTATATCACAGGAACAAGTGAAGGGAAACTGGATGAGTGAAACAAATTGTAATGAGATATAAAGCCTCTCTCTTGTAGGTCACCATTTTGAAGCCAGCACAGATTGGTAGCGACCAAAAGTCATTGCCATGTAATGATTTTTTGTGATCTACAAGAAATGGTCTTTTTCTGTGTAGTTCATAGTAGACAATTTTCCCTCCACTGCTCACTAGAACCCTAGCTGGCAGGACCAGCAGAGACAGCATGGACTTAATGGACCTGAAAATTAAACAACCTTCTTACCCCTAAAGGCAGTCCCTCCTGAAAGGGTGGAATACACTATATTGATGTTCTGAGGATAAACAAAAATGACTTTGGTTCTAGTGTTCTCAATCCAGCATCTTTTGTGAGGAGAAAAATTCATTGAGATAACTGAGAGAGGAAAAAATCATCTATTAAGAAAAGATGTCTTCCACTCGACAATTTACATACATTTACAAAAAAGAACACTAACACTTACCTCCTTTATTTTTGAATATGCTTGACCCTTGCTACTTGCAGCAACAGCAAGAACTTCAGTGTCAAACACAAACTGAACAAAGGCTTTTAAATTAGACCAAAATATTAGCTGTGTGTTGCTCAAAGAGGATATAACTTTCCAAGCCAGATCAAATGCATCTATGCAGAGAGATTCGGATGAGCCCAGAAGCTGAAAATAAAGAGGAGGAAAACAGTGTTTAATTTCTGGGGGGGAAAATCTTCATTATTGTTACTGACCATAGGTTTGCTTTTTTGTCTCTTACCTTGGGAACAAGCACTTTCATGCAATGAAACACAGGTAAAACCTGGTCAGAAGGCAAAAGAGTTAGAGCTTCCAGTGCAGACTGTAGAGTTCTTATTGGCCTTTGGACTGCAAGCAAAGATAGTTCCAGAGTCTCATCATTTGACAATGGTATAAATTTATCATACTTATTTAAAATAAAATGAAGGCAAACCCACTGGTCATGTACATAGCTTGCAACGATTTTCCCCCATCCTTGAGAAGATGTTGATTCTTCAAATAAACTGTAACAGAGAAAATACTTTTAAGTCCATATTAATACTTCAGTTTCTTTACATACAAACTATACGCAATAATGTAATGTCCTAATAGAAAGCAGATTAGAATCAAAACTCTAAATGCCAATTCAACTCCCATTAAATTCAGTGGAAAGATATCTATTCACTTCAGTAAGAATCAATTGAGTCCTAATTCCCTACGCCTACTACAGAAAGAGCTAAGATGAGCAAATCCATTTCGCTTCCACCATATTCTGGATCTGAAGAGTAAGAAGGCTCATTTAGCTATTTAGACATCCTAAATTAATTAAGTTATCACTTATGAAACTTGTATCTTGTCACAAATTACCAAAAAAAGTTATCTTAAAAAGTTACTTTACTCTGTATTAAAGATGTATAGATAGTGACTTGAACTGTAGCATAGACATACCTATTTTTTTCCTCAATTTTGGAAGGCTTCTTTAATACTTGATTAAGTTGAACAGAGGAAATAAAACCTTTTAGGGTTTCAACAGCATGTAGAGATTTAAGTTGCAGTTCAGGTTTCTGATCAAAAATCTCACAAACCACAGTTAGTGAGGCCATACTAACTACTTTTTGAATCTGTTCTCCAAGCTTTGATTCCTAGTAATGAAAAATTAAAAATCACACAACCAACATACTAAAATTTCCCCTAATAAATTATGAATAATATACGGATACATATTGAATACCTTTAAAATATTCTATTATATATGAAAATCTGATTAGAAAGTAAAATGTAGGGAAAAACAGGTGTGTATGTATCTATCTATCTCATCTTACAAATTACAAGCATTCCTTTATCAGCACCAGCCCTGTAGTTTGAATATGACATGACATTCATAGTTAACTGAGTGGGCAGAAATTAACTTATGTATTTTTACTAATAATGGAAATGGTAAGAAATTAATTTCATTCTAGTAAATTACAGCACTTGTGCCAGTACCGTTAAGGCTGAACTGCAACTAAGGTCAGTCTTAATTTCATATTTTCTATTTTATGTCACAAACTTAGTGTTAAGCAAATATTCAAATGTATACCTGTCACAAGGATATTTTCCCCCAAATCAAATTCCTCACAAATTATAAGTTTGAATTCTATTATTTATGGAAATCTGAACAAAAAGTAAAATTCAGGCACACGTAGCCAGAGTCCTCCAAGGCCAGTAGAGAGAGTAGTTAAAGCAGTCTAGAAGGCAACAACTGTCACTTCAACTAAAGAGGAATTATTGTGTCTGAGAAGCAGAGCAAGCAGAAGAGACTATGCGATCTATTATAGCATAAAATGCAGCTCACTCCTAATAAAAATATATTAATTTGTGTGTAAAGTTATATAAGAACAAGTGTGCAGGGGTGAGGAAAAGGGACAGAAGATTATATAAAAAATTACTGAGCACTGTCAATGTGTACAGCAATGTACAAAATGCAATATTATAACAGATTATTTTCTGAATGCCTCCAGCTATCAGAAACACAGAAAATGTTTCGAACCTCTGCCCACCTTCTCTATGAAGAATGGCTGTAAGAATTTGCTGCAATCTTTCAACAACACATAACTAACATAGAGACCCTATTCAAACACTCATTACTCAGGAAAACCCCTTGATTCAACTAACGTATTGACTTGGGAAGAATTACTGAGTCAGGCCTCAATATACTGTTCCAATATGCTACTAATCCACAAATGTCATTTTTGTTTGATAAAATGATAAATTATGATAAAGTCACAAATAGCTGAAAAAAAAACTAACTTGTTTTTCCACTTAGTCATGCAAAAATGATACTAGTGTGTTTTATCTCTCATTCTGCTCTCAATGTATGATTTAATTTCTTAACTTCTTTGAGCCTACTGATTTGTTCTGACAAGGATAGGATCGGAATATTAGAGGGTGTTTATCACTGCCACTATAATCAAGGTTGAAAAACAGTTTCAAACATACAATTCTGTTTTTACACAATTCACCAAAACATTCACTTTGTGTAATAAGGATGACAGTGATTTATGCTAATAAAAAAAATGAGAAAGTGAGCAAAATCTGTCCATCCATTTTTTCACTTTGTGAAGGCTTAAAATGAACACATTTTTTCCCATTATAAAATTCTATCCTTTTAAAAATATCAGGGCTACCATAAAATAAAAACAGATACGGATTTGGCATGAATACAATCCTCCTCTCTTTTTGAACTAGTATCTTTGCTTGGCTTGCGGGAGAAAAATATTTTGATTTAAGAAAGAGATGAATGCATATTCTATAGAGGATATACCTTAAACCTAGAGACACCAACTTAAAGATTAACTGAGCTGTGAATGCATGCAAAGTACAAGACATTCTGCTGCCACTGTAGTAATCATTAAATTCCCACTAACTTAAAAGGGAGCAAGAAAGACAGACAGACAGACACACACACACAAGAAATTAAATCCCCCCAAAATCTTTTTGACAAAGCATTAATGTCAAATCTGGAAATTCCAAAAGTTAAAGTTCCTCTAGCAATATGAATTCAGCCATGTTTCACATCAAACTTTTCTCTTTCTCTTGAAAAATGAAAATATTAACCTATTACTCTACATATAACACATATATAACTGTGGGATATAAAACGTGGGGGAATGAATACTGCAACAGAAAATGTTAGCTTTTGGAATTTCTTGACCTTGCAAATTTAACACTGTATTAATACTAACGTTTGGGAGATGGGGTTTCAATTTAATTCTATTTTCAAAGCTATCTAACATTTTACTGTATTTTAGGCAAAGGCCTTTGAGTACTACACAAACAATCTTATTTGAGAAAAATGTGTTTATTGCCACCTATGCATTGCTTTAGCTATATAGCAGCTGTATATCGTTAACAAAGAACTACAGCCAGGGCCGGCTCCAGGGTTTTGGTCACCCTAAGCAGCCAAACAAAAACAAACAAACAAAAGCCGCGATCGCAATCGCGATCTGCGGTGGCAATTTGGCGGGAGGTCCTTTGCTCCGAGCAGGAGTGAGGGACCGTCCGCCGAATTGCTGCCGAACAGCTAGACGTGCCGCCCCTCTCCGAAGTGGCCGCCCCAAGCACCTGCTTGGTAAGCTGGTGCCTGGAGCCGGCCCTGACTACAGCACTACAGTCCTAACAATGTCCTTTGGGAAACAGAGTGTTTCACTGCAATATAACACTGCAGATGAATTACACAAATGAGTTTTCTGTAAAGTAATATATTCATTAATATTTGTATCATATAGTTATGCCATTTATCCCTTGTAAAATTACCTGTTCATTGCCCGTCTCCTGCAGATTTTGAATAGAGGCATTTATGAGAGAAGAGATGAAATTCCAAATGGAGGGCCCCTTTTTCCAGCCAGCGTTTGAGCATAAATTCACCAGCTCTGACAATAATGCTAAGTATAAATTACAACGATCCAGATCTGAAACCTAAAATGAAGAAGGTAGGTAGTGTCACTAAAAAGGAGAAAAAATAAATTGAAAATGAGACAGCTAGAAAAAGGCAGGAGCAGCAGCAACAACTACAGTTGGACAGCCTTTTCTTCTTGTGGCTAAACACACTTTCTTCTCTCCCATCCTGTCAGGTTCCCCCACTCCACCTTAGGGTTCTCTGAGTAACCAACAACAACTTTGGTACTATGAAAGGAATCTCCAGTCGTCTTTTTTTACTAGAAACTTCCTTTCCTCTCCATTTGACCACGGGCTCTGCCCTTCTTCCTGAGGGTCCATATATTGTTTCAAGCAAAATCAGCTGTTTGATAACTGGACCACTGCTTTTTCTTCTTCTGCAGATGTCTCACCGCAGAGTCCTAAGAAAATAGCATATTTCTCCCTGGCCCTACTTCGCTTTCCCACTATGTCCCCTTTGTTCTCTGGCTTCTAGCTTCTGCACTCCCCTTCACTTACTTCTCCTACTCCACACCACACCACATCACCACCACCTTCCTTTTCTCCTCTCTTCACCCATTGTGTACTTTCATGAACTTTACTGCCTTCTCTACTCCCGGAGAGGTAACACCTCCTCTTCTTTAGGAACTATTAGGAAAGGGACAGAAAATAAGACAGAAAATACCCATAATGTCACTATATAATCCATGGTGCACCCACACCTTGAACACCATGTCCAGTTCTAGTAGCCCCATCTCAAAAAGGATATAGTGGAACTGGACAAGGTTCAGAGAAGGGCAACGAAGATGATTAAGGGTATGGAATGGCTTGAGGGGAAAGAGGAGAGATTAAAAAGATTAGGGCTGTCCATATTAGAAAAGAGACAACTAAGGGGTGATATGATAGAGGTCTATAAAATCATGAATGGTGTGGAAAAAGTGAATAAGGAAGTGTTATTTACCCTTTCCCACAATAACAAAACCAAGGGTCACTCAATGAAGTTAATAGGCAACAGGTATAATACAAACAAGAGAAAGTACTTTTTCACATGATGCACAATTAACTGTGGAACTCCTTGCCATGCGATGTTGTGATGACCACAAGTACAACTGGGTTCAAAAAAAGAACTATATAAATTAATGGAGGATAGGTCCATCAACGGCTAGGAGCCTAGATGGTCATGGATGCAACCCCAGACTTGGGGTGACCCTAAACCTCTGACTGCCAAAAGCCAGCAGGGGATGGATCGGGGCGGATCACTCCAACTGCTCTGTTCTATACACTGCCCCATAAGCTTTGGTACTGTCGGAGACAGAATACTGGGCTAGATGGACCACTGGTCTGACCCAGTATGGCCATTCTTATGTTTCTTTTCTCACTTTCACAAATCCTCTTCTCATTTCAAACTTAGTCTTTGTCTCAGTCCAGGTCCCCTCTTCATCCCATCCTCTATCATGAACCTCTCTTGTACTCTTTCCATATCAGTTTTATTTCCATACTCCATGCTCCCTCTTTGATTATGTTCCCTCTCAAAACTCCCACTCCACTGCTGAAAAACTCACCCTGATCCATAACCTCTATTTACCTGCTACCCTCCACCTCTTCACTCTTGATGAAACACAGCTCTTTTCTGACGCCTCAACCTCTGTTGCTACATTCCTCTTACAAGGACCATCTTTTTGCACTCCCCCAAGTGTTAGAAGTGGCTATGAACTTCTCCTCCCTCCCTGTTAGTCACTTCCTGTCCCTTCCTCCTTCCCATACAACTTTCTTCTCTGGAGTCTACACTGGCCAGTTTAGCCTAGATTCACAAAGGGACTTGGGCTTTGTGACATGAGTGTCACTTTTAGGTACCTAGAAAATCACAGGGACAAAACTGCGATTCACAAAGCCTGAGTCAAGCACCTTAGCTCCCTATACAACAAATGGGGGGAAATAGGCAACTTAGAATGAGATTTACAAAATCAAACAAATGAGGCAAGGAAGAGTCTAAGTTAGCCAATAGGAGACAGCGATGAGAAGAATGTGTGCTAAGTCCCACTCCTCTCAGAGAGGGAAGTGCTGAGACAAGGCTGCAGGGAAGTCCCCATCACTGCTAGCGATTTATAGCTGGGAATCCCTCTCATGGAGTCAGGTGGCATAAGTGCCTAAAAGTGTTTCTTGTGAGAATGAGCTACGCAGGTGCTTAACTCCACACAAAATGGCCGGAGGTGATACCCACCTTATAACTTTTAGCCCACTGATTAGAATACTAACCTGGGATGAGGGAGACCCAGATTCAATTCCCCCCTGAACAGAGGGCGAAAGCATTCGAACTGGGGCTACCCACCGCTCAGATGACTGCAGTAGCCACTGAGCAATGGGATATTCTCATGTGGGGTTTTCTCAATTTCTCCTGTTGAGGCTGTTCCACAAAGGATAAATACTTAAAGGGTCACTGGGCCAGAGAGAGAGAGAAAGAATAAGACTGTAGTCTGGTGCTTACGGCACCCTCCTGGGAGTTGGAAGACCCAGGGTCCAACGACTCGTTCATTAGTTATCTACAGTGGAACAGCTTCAACAGGACAGACTGAGGGAGCCCCATATCAAACTATCCCAGAGCTCAGGGGTTAGAGCACTCTTCTGAGAGGTGTTGGAAACCCCTGTTCAAATCCTTTCTCCTGCTCTGGCACAGAATGGGGAATTGAACCTGGGTCTTAGACACTAAATGCTATTGTGAATCTGGACCTCTCCCTTTACCCTCTGAGTAGCCACTAACTACAGTTAAAATCTTGCCCATGATCTCCTATCTCTTATCTTGTTTACAGTAACCTTGTTTCTGTCTTTCATCTTCTCACTTCTCCCCATTTAGTCTATCCAAATTGCATCTGCTGAAATCACCTTCCCCTTGTCACAGTGCTCATCTCCTTGTACTCATCTTCAAGGCCTTTAAATCTTTGATCTCTTTTCCTTCTACACTTCTATTGCCACTCAACTCCCCACACTTCTATCAACCCATTCATCTTTTTGCTTTCTCTCTTTCCTCACCCTCTACCTTTGTACTTTCTGTTATACTGCCTTCTATGCTTTGAACAGCCCTCCTCTGTCTGCCAAGACCCTCTCTCTTCTCCTGAAAACCCACATCCTTCAGGACTACCTTTTTTCTCATCACCATGTCTCATTCTACTCTTTCTCCCATGAACCATTTATTACTAGTTTCACCTTGTGTGTGTCTTTTAAGCTCTTTTGTAAAGCTCTCTGTGCAAGTCCAACACATATAACTAGTACTCCTGGGGGAATTCTGCGCCAAAAAATAAAAAAATTGGAGCACAGTATTTTAAAATTATGCATATTTTAGTTGCCAAAATAACACAATATAATCACTCAATTTTTAATAATTTTGGTAATTTATTTAAAAATATCTGTCAACAAATATGTCAGCAATACAGACAACAGCAAAAAAGAATCCCCCAGGAGTAGAGAGTTAAAGAAACCCCTACAACAACCCAGTTCCAGTTGGAGGATGATTGAGGGGGCTGTGTGGGGCTCCCAGAGCCCAGACATCTGCACTCCCATCCCCCCAGAGTCCAGCTTTGGGGCACCCCCGCCCTCCGACCCAGATACACACACCCACTTCCCCCCAAAGCCAAGCCACGGAGCACCCCCTGGCCTAGACAGCAGCCCCTCCCCCGTCCCCCCCCGCACAGAGCCCAGCTGCACAGGGCACCCCTCCAGCCTAGACACCAGCCCCCCACCCCCCAAACACACACACACACACAGAGCCCAGCCGCAGGGCATCCCCCAGAAACCAGCCCCTCCTTTCCCCCCAGAGCCCAGCCGAAGGGCAGCCCCCAGTCCAGACACCAGCCCTGCCAGAGCCTTTACTCCACCCAGCTTCTATACTGTCCCGCTGGGGGACATGGTGTAGTGCGGCCACCTGCTCTTCCTCACCCTTTGCTAGAGCTGGCTGGGTCTCCCAAGCCCTCTCCCGTCCTGGGAGAATGAGGATCAAAGAGCATGCAGCCTCCAGCCCTGCCAGGCTGGGCGCTCCAGCAGCCCTTAGCGTCAGCCAGAAAGTCTGTGGGCAAAATAGGGAATTCTGCATTCTGCAGTAGCGCAGAATTCCCCCAGGAGTAAACTAGTTATTAGCTATTTTTTATGAAGTCAAATACCACTAGCACCTCTCGGGTTTCATTTTAGGACTCTCCATGAAACCACAACATGAAAAACTGTTTAAATTTTAACTAGCCATTAACTGAATACAGTAAAGAGGGAGAGGAAAAATAAAATTTTGACTAGTACTATAAAAACAAATTGCCAAGTAATTGTCTCTCAAAACCCGCAGTTCAGTACCTCTGCTATAGAATTTCTTTAAACCAGAGCAGTGACAATTAATGTAGTGAACTGTTCCCACTGTGTCAAATTTCAAGTCAGTTTACTGGCTAAGGTAAACCGAATATTTGCTGAATTCCCTTTACAGGAAGAAACTTCAGATATCTGTCTCAGCAGGCTTTTATCAAAAACCATAACAAGAGTTTAAAGTATTTCTATGCAAAATGATTTTCTGGGTGTTGAAATATTTCATTTGGAAACATGTAAAAACATTGCCAATTCTGTGCATAGTAGATTAACAATCAGAACTGCACTGAAAAAACAAGAAATCAGACACAGAGTCTTTCAAGTATCTACAGTAAATACTTACAGTATTCAATTCACTTGTAGTGAGTCTTCTGAGGACAAAGTCCAGTATACTTTCTGCAGCAGTCATAACAGAATTAGAGAGAAAACTTAACACCACATCTATACAGAAAACAAAACAAATGCACTATTAAAACAATGTACTTTTTTGTGTTAGAGATACATGATATACAAAGTGGACTAAATCAGGTTACCATACAATGTCAAGCTATACAAGAATAAGCATTTACAGTTCTCTTAAGCTTCTGATCATTCGGTATAAATGACTGCTCTTCATTTTATTGTATACTGTATTATTTCAGTGGGTTCTACTTCTCTTTTTGAGGGGATCTGCATCTGATTGGCTAGAGGGCTATAAAATGGTGCACAGAATATCAGGGTTTTCAAGAAATGTTTATGATTGTCTTTTTAGGTTTAGGCATTCTATCTTAAAGGACACACGCAAAGCTCTGCTGCTTAAAAAATTATAAAAACTTGATGTTAAGAATCCCTCAAATCTTCTCTAGTGTTAATAAATCTGGAGGGCATTCAGAGTTCCAGATCAAATCTCAAACTGGTAGGTCCAATTTAATGACCAGGTAAACCTGTAGTTCATTGGTTTGCTTTCTATGTTTATCAGAAATCAATTTGATTGAATAAACACCAGAGAGATCTCAAAGTCAATGAGATTATTCAAGTGCTTAAAGTTAAAGCACATACTCAAAGGCTTTGCTGGATCAAGGCCTAAATTAATTAGAACGACTCTCAAACTTTATTATAGTACATTATATTATATATATGGGGGGAGGGACAGCTCAGTGGTTTGAGCATTGGCGTGCTAAACCAAGGGTTGTGAGCTCAATCCTTGAGGGGGCCATTTAGAGATCTGGGGCAAAAATCTGTCTGGGGATTGGCCCTGCTTTGAGCAGGGGGTTGGACTAGATGACCTCCTGAGGTCCCTTCCAACCCTGATATTCTATGATTCTAGGATTATGGTATTCTAATGCCCAAATTATGTGTGTGTGGTTGTTTGACCTTTACTACAAAAGTTTCTCGGTCTTCAATCAACAATTTAAGTTAAGGCTGCAAAACAGGTTCCATTCAAACTCAATTTTCACAGTTTCATAACTTAAAACTGGAGCAAAATCCCTTCAACTGCTTTTACAGTTGAGTGAAAGTGAAAAAAAAATACACCTTTTCTGATTTAAACCAAAACTGCTATGATCATATACATCACTGAGGAGTAGTATGCTTGTATGGGAAAATTATGTTATATATATTATATATAAAATATATTTGTTTACACATTTATGGTTGGATACAATTGCAGAATGAGCATGCACATCAAAAAAGATCACCATGGGCAAGACTTTCACTTGCCCAACGCACCCACGCAGGAAAGTAAGCGGTTGGGCTACCTGGAACACCAGTGTATGCAATGGGGACAAGAGCAGGCACCACTAACACTAGCCCTCCTTTACCTCCGCAAAGGTAACCAGGGAATGGATAATGAACACAACCACTGGCTCTGTTCCCACAATATGCCAGTTAGCACAACTGAACTGGCACAGAGGGAGAAGAATTTGCTACTACAATAGCCAGTAGCAGATACTTTCTCTCTTAGAACAAAAACGAAGGAAGCTGAGAAAGGAACTCTTTCCTTGCTGCACCACACTCTGGGATAGATGTAAGGTCGCAATCTGGCCCAATGTCTCTCAATAGACACACAAAGATAGATCTATTTCATTTTTACGCACAGCTAGTTAAAGTGGGGTTCTAGTAAGAAAAGCAACTATGTGAAAATGACATGTTCTAACTACCGATCTGCTCCTTGTTTCTATCTAGCGTTGTATCTGCTCTTTTTAATGATTAAAATAAGGATATTTAAACTACTTTGTACTTTCATAGCATTGCAGAGCCACATGTTGCAGTGTGAAGTGGGTTATATTCCTTCTTGTGAGTGATCAAAGTTTAGAGAAATTTGTAAAGATGAAAGATAAAGAGCTGGACTGTTTTCAAATGTTCGTAAACATTATTAAATTCCCAACCCATTTTTGCCCAAACTTTGTCATGAGCTTATTCCTCAGTGAGGACATTTAGAATGCTCAGTTTCCAAATTCAGCTACTAATGTAATGTACCTGGGGGAAAGTTTTTTGTTTTTTTCTTAAACACATCTGCATACACAACCGCTAAAAGAGCATTCCTTGAAACTTTCTAAAGTAATTCATCTTTAGGTAGAGACCAAGCATGGAAGATTTCAGCCTAAAAAGTTATTTTCAAAAAGTTATAAGTAAATGAGAGCACAAGATTATAATGGAAAATAGCATTTGTTACTTAGGGAACGCTATGATAAAACACGTACAAAACATAGTGCCACACAATACATTTGCATGGCACTTAATCATAGAAAATGACATAGGTATGTTACTCTGTAGGGGCTGTAGTGGGTAAATGTGGCAAAATGTACTTCACCACCTATATACCTCAATCTATATTTCAAGGGAAACCACAGTGGCACTGAAAGTCAGGCGGATAATACATCAATATGGCGATGGCACTGAAAGCCTCTGCATGCCCTTTTTGCACCAACATATGGGGAGTTAACAGAACACAGGGAGGATAACAAAGCATGAAAGTGGAGTCTATCTGATTGGACCTGCTATGAAATAAACACCTATGAAGCACAGGTTGAGCTCCCAGAGAGATTCTCAAAGAATACCTTTGAGGATTTCCTCAAGGTTTTCTGTGTCACCTTAGAATTACAACAAAGAGCAAGCTCAGGGGAAAGCCTAGTACCCTTCCTGGAGACTTGCTCTGATATTTAATTTTTGAATTAAACAAAATTTTAATTAAATGGAAAACTGCCAAATGCCAGAAACAATATGGACATATTCCAAAACTATATTGTGCTTATTATCAAGGTTCTCTATTTATTAACATGGCTGAAAATGGCTCAGCTGGCTGCTTTTATAGGAGTGCACATCTCTAGTTTGTTCACAAGGTTAAACGTTATAATTTAGTTCCTATATCAAATTATTACTATTACACCATAATTCCCCCTTGCACGCTGTTTGGTTCATGCTTTATCTGTAATAACAATTCTGCAAATGGAACTTAGGAATTCTTTTGATAAACCACAACCCAGAACAGAATCCAGCTAACGCTCCCATAGTTCTGTTGGCCCTCAAAGGTTATCAATAATAATAATTAGTAAAAAGTCATTTTTCAACACTAATGTCTGCAGACTCAATAAACGCAGATCTGTTGAGTAAGAAAATGCCAATAATACAGTCACCTTTCTGACCACAACCACATTTTGAAAGGAACATCAAGTACATTTTTGTACTTTTTTTAAACAAAGCATTCACCACTGTTAGTAAGATCACTGTACAAGTTTGAAATCAGTTTTCCAAATATTGTGTCCCTCTCCCTTTTTTTTAAATGGTAAACATGGCAAGACAACTTGTACATTTACTGTATTTCCCTGTTCAGTTCATAGCTATGGCAATTAAGTTTATTACTTGGCTTTACTCTGCATCAGAGAAGCATGAAAACACAGCAGGTCATACCTAAAATGTGGCTTTTCTTTTCTTACATGTCTTGATACGAAAGCATTTAAAAGGAGAAAAAAAGTTTGGAGTTCAATCCTGTAAGATGAAAGCAACCTCCTGGGAGATTCCTCGGACTGCTAGGAACTCTGCAGGCTCAATTCCCAAAGAATGGGCTCATAGTTATTTATAATATGTGCATGTTATCCAGGTTCTAAATACCTGTGGGTCCAATCCTGAAGGATGCCAAGTGCTTTCTTGGAAGCATTCTACATCCTCAACTCACAAGCAGTGGTGGGATTCCTGCTGAAGCCCTTCTGGGGTTTGAGCCCAAATTCTGATTTGGAAGGCATGCCCTTGATTATAAACTTTTTTATGTACATTACTTATGAACTGATATTACTTGACAATATCCCTTTATCGTAGTAAATATCCACAAGTTTATTTTGATTATAAATTATATAGGATGCAATATACTGAAGAGATCACTAACCATCTTGTGGACTAGACTGTTTTAACAAACAGGTCTGTAATAGCTTCAAGAGTAGCTGTAGACTTTTATCAGTTTTCAGTGTTGGTATGTAAGCATTAGTGCCAAGTTTCAACAAGACATCCAGAAGAGGGTGCAAGAAAGACTTTAGTTCAACCCGTTCAGCGTTGCTTTTTTTGCTGCACAAAACAAAAATTAAAAACAAATATTCTGTGAACTTTTCTTAAGTGTCTAAGTCACATGAAAATCTAGGACTTAGGCTCCAAAGTCATTTAGGCACTTTTGAAAATTTTACAAGACAAGTTCTAAGGCAATTGACTACAGGATGATCCAAAGCCCACTGAAGTCAACTGGAGTCTTTCTACTGGCTTCAGTGGGCTTTGGAACAGGCCCAAAAGAAAAATGTGACGAGATTCCTACTTGCCTTTGTTTATTCTTCATCTCCTCCACATCTGCAGCCAGCAGAATCATTGTAGCAACAAGCTTAGCTTCAAACCAGTCAGGCATACAGCAGTTTTCTCCTGATTAAAGAGAATTTAAATTTTCCATGATATTTTTTTAAAAAATCTCAGAATAGTAATTTTAACTGCTAATGTAGGTTTCCAATCCTATTAACAGCAGGCAGTGATATATAAATGATTCATTAATTCAATGTACAAAATATCAGCATAAATATTAATAATGAACACTTTGCATTCTTGTATATACATTTAAATTAAACCAGGTTAATTTTCATCCTCTACCTACTACATAAGAAGGCATCTACCTGCCTTTTGGTTAAAATACATTTTGGGCTACATGTTAGGTTCTTTATCAGTAAATCCTGATAAACTTTTTTTAAAAGTACTTTTTAAAGGGAGGCTGGGATTCTCAAAGGAGCTTAAGGGAGTCATCCCCCTGAAATTCAACCTACTTAGACTCCTTTGAAAATCCCAGCCTGTGTTTCTACCAGCCAGAAGTTTCATACAGAACGAAACCCACCGTCAAAAGAGAAAAAAGCATGAAGTTAAACTGAAGTTTTCCTCCCAATTGATCACTTATATGGACACAAAACATTTACACCAATTATTTGCTATAAAAAACAGTCTAAGAGCTGTCATTTTAGAAAGAATTTTGGACTTTTAGCCCTGAGAATTCAGAAAGCGAGACATGCTTTGGTGTTCCAACGCACAAGTAGTTCCATACCTGAAGGCATAATTTGCTCATCAAGCTGCTTATAAACTGAGCTGCAATTCAAGTAAAATAACAGGAACCTAGTCTATAAAAGCTGTTTTTTCAGTTAGCTGACCTGTAACTCCAAAGTAATGGCTGAACACACATTTCAGGAGGCAGGGAAGTTCTGCCAAACTAATTTTTAGGGAAGAGTAAACCTTCAGAATTTCCAAATGAATTTGGCAACAATTTTAGCCTAATTAATGATAAATGAAAGAAAGAACTTGCAACATCTCTGATCATAAGAAAAACAGTTTTTGGAAAACTAATTTTCTATTGATACCACAACTTTTCTGATGATATTCACCAAAATCAAACCGTGACCCCATTTTTTGGTATCCTCTAAAGGGATAACTAAAAAATGACTGACTTTTGAAACGTCACACTTTGTATTATAAACTTCTTCAAGCACTGTGTGCTTTGCTAAATTAGTAATACTACTACTGTGATAAGTGCTATATAAAAATCAAAGCTCCATAAATAGATGTTTGAAAGAAAATTCTTAAAAACAATTATGAATGTTTGAAATGTGTCTGTGAGGCAAAAAGTAGAAAATTCTGTTCCGAATTTAGCTTTGTGCTCGTGATTTGCATGCATTTATTAAACTGCATACTTCTTGTGTTATAAGAATTTACAAATTCATCTGCTGAACAAGGTGAAGACTAATCTCAAAAATCCTAATTGCTTGCAAGTATGTGCAGAAAGCTGTTTAGCTCCAAACTAAAAGTACGACACAACACATTTGTATATCCACAAATATGTAAGTCCAGAGTATGTAATTTATAAATTCTGTTAGTGCATGCTATGGATTTTGTAAACTGTGCAACCTCAATAAATCCATATTTTTTTCCTTTCCTAAACGGAGACTGGGAAAAAAATAAAGAAGGAAATTAAATGCACAAAACTACTAGTGCTAATGCAACACTGAAGTTGCAAATCAAGCATTCAATTCAGCTAATTCCAAAAGTTTAAATTTTTTCTGCAATATTGTATTTTTTAGTCCTGTTTCCTTTCTTAAATGCAAATACTTTTTTATTAAGCATTAACAAAACAATATCATGAACTACATAGGATTGTGCAATGTAACAAGGTTAACACTGTATAAAAATCTTTAATTTTACAAATTTGACTTTAAGACATTAAGCTTGTTATATCACTAACTCTGGTGTTTGCATTTAGGAGCTATTAATTCATAAAGATTAACTGAACTTACTTTTGGATGCAGGTGCCTTAAGGTAATCTTCCACGAGAGTATGTACATATACACTTAATGAAGATCTTTCTTGATGCTCAGCATGGCAGTTTATGGACTTTCTGAAGCATCTGTCATGAGTATACAGCCAATCGCAAAGCTAAATGAAATAAACGTTACTATTTAAACACTTCTGCCAACTTAGGTTATACAGAAGAAAACAAGTAATCTGACACAACTCAATACACTTAAATTCTCTCGAAGTGTGTGTGTTGGTGTATGTATTAATACACTTTTGAGACATATGTAGAAAAAGGAAGAAACCTACAGTATTTTAAAAAAAAAAAATCCTGTGCTTGTTTAAGCTTTTGATACTCATAACAAGAGTAGAACAGATGCGGAGCATAGTCATTACTTCATTAACCTGCTGTGCCATCGCATGCAGCTATATCTACTTATTCAGCCAGAATGTTCTGAAGTCCAAAGATTACTTCTTCCATGTTTTTTCATTTAAATTTCTAATTCTGTGGCTGAATGTACCCCTTAAAGGTTGTGATATACGTGTATTTTGAGAGTTAAAATTCACAATGGAAAGCAAAAAATTAATCTTACATGCAAATTTGTCTTCTTTGGGAATGGAGTTCTGTTATTCTTGTAAATGCTGGGTTTTGCCACACACACGAAAATCAGAGGCAATTCTCATGCAATTTTTTGGCACCCAAATACTGGCCCTTTAAGAGGCTCCCAGACACCCACTGCCTCAGAAAATACTTCCAAAACTATGAAAAAGGAAAGACACATACAGCAGACAATCATTCTGAAGAGAAGGCAAATTTAAAGATAAGACAAAACAATTTATTACTCCAGCAAACAAATACTGTATCCACTAAGAAGGGTGGATAAAAATCAATGATTTTAAAAAATATATATATAAAAAAAATCTGTTTTTTTTTTATTTAAATCGGATTTTTTTGATAAAATGCTTTTTGAGGAAAAAACCTATTAAGATACATTATAGCTCAAAGATATCTCATTATGGAATAGGGATTATAAATTCTAATTCTGAGTCTGAGTACATTCATGTAATGTTTAAGAAAAGTTTTGAAAAAGAGTTCCAATAGTTCATGGATTAGGGAGCCAATCTTATGGAGTTCCAGGGGCTTCTGTATAGATTATTTAGGTTAATCTTTCTATTTACCCAATGGGACTCAGTGCTCAGTCTAGAAGATACCATCAGAGATGCTTAGTTTTGCAGTTCTCAAACTGTGGATTTGTGTCTCCGGAGATAACATGCTTGTTAACAGCAAAGATGTTTTAAAATACATAAATAATATATAGAGGTGAGAAATAGACCGCAACTCTATTGTCCTTCTGCAAATTTGTGTACACAGTCAATCCCTTACCTCTCTCTAAAAGTGCAAAGTTTCAAAAAGTTCAATGAATAGACGATTGTTGGGGGCAGAATAAATCTGGACAAGGAGAAGAACTCTGGAGATAAATGTGAGTAGGGAGGGACAGACAGTAGAAACAAAAGTGGAACTGTTTGAGCAGCATATTCCAGAAGTCTGGAGGTCTTTCTGAGTGTAGCCTTCATTGATTTGAGATCTACCATACCATTCTCTCACTTTAATGGCAGCAGGCTGTAAAAGAGGCCCAGTTTGGGAATATTTTAATGAAGTTCCTCTACCTGTGGGTAAGACAGGCATGCATGCAAAATGCAAACAGTGCAACAAAGAAATGCAAGGCCTGATTGCCCAAATGAAACAATATCATGAGAAGTGTTCCTTCTCAGGAGGAAGCTGCACTGAAGATGATGAAAGGAACGTCTGAACATGCAGGATCTTCAGGTTGGTAAACCTTTT